AGCTTGGCAGTGCTTCCTGAATACTTCCTGAATCTGGACTTCACTTATTGTGAGAGTCTCACAGCATTTCTTCAGGTGAGGGTTATTGTCTTTAATTTCTTCTTTGGGAACACACTGTGTTGCCTTCTTCAAAATCTCAGCAACCTTTAACAAGTCCTTGTAGAAGCCCTCAATGCTATACATTTTTACCTCCTCCACCAATTTTTGGCTGCTGTGTGCTGCGAGCTCAGTTTCTTCCAATGTTTGTTTATCTTATTCCACAGCCTCCTTCAGCTGCTTTTCTAACTTGACTTCTTCTATCAATATCTTGTCTGTAGAGGGAGTATCTGTCCTCCATTTGGTTTGGATCCACATCCTCTTCCAAGTGCTGGCAACTGTTCTTTTGTTTTGCAGCTGTGTGCAGAACTGAGGAGAGGGCCTGAAGACAATGCCAACACCGGGAGACTGCGTGGCACCAGCATCACGCATGGAGCTACCATGGCTGCACCGAGATGATGTTTTAAGCTTCCCCTCGCCTATCACTATATGCTTCTGTGACATGTTTTTAATTATTTTTATTCATTCATGTCCTTCAACATAATTATCAAATATATTTTATCTACATTTTTTTTTTTTTTTTTTTTTGAGACGGAGTTTCGCTCTTGTTACCCAGCCTGGAGTGCAATGGCGTGATCTTGGCTCACTGCAACCTCCGCCTCCTGGGTTCAGGCAATTCTCCTGCCTCAGCCTCCTGAGTAGCTGGGATTACAGGCACGTGCCACCATGCCCAGCTAATTTTTTGTAGTTTTAGTAGAGACAGGGTTTCACCATGTTGACCAGGATGGTCTCGATCTCTTGACCTCATGATCCACCCGCCTCGGCCTCCCAAAGTGCTGGGATTACAGGCGTGAGCCACCGCGCCCACCTTTTATCTACTTTTGTTCCTTATGACTTACAGATTCTGACAGCTCGGAACTCTTCCCACTGCCTCACTTCTCATCCTCAGTGCTTCTAATTTTAAAACTGGGCCCTGGGTATCCCTGTTGAAGTTCTCACAATAATTAAACCCTATTTGCTGGTTAAAGTTTCTTTGTTTTGGATACATACTTCGGTTCTTTTGTAAGTAATTACATAGCAGGGCAAACTACTCCTTGCACAAATACATAGTTTAGAACAGTGGAATCATTTTAAGGTATAGGAGGGCACTTATCTTTCTACTTATTCTGGGAAAGATCATGGGAATGCAGATATAGCCATGTCTTAAAAACTATATATTTTTTCTCCTCATTTAGGTACAAAGTTTTAAGTCCAAATAATATAATCAGTATTAGAATTTTACAGGACTGGCTACAAAAAGAACAATGAAAGAAGCAAAAGGCCGGGCGCGGTGGCTCACCCCTGTAATCCCAGCACTTTGGGAGGCTGAGGTGGGTGGATTATGAGGTCAGAGGTTCAAGACCAGCCTGACTAACATGGTGAAACCCCATCTCTACTTAAAATGCAAAAAAATTAGCCAGGCATGGTGGCATGTCCCTGTAAACCCAGCTACTTGGGAGCCTGAGGCAAGGGAATTGCTTGAACCAGGGAGGTGGAGGTTGCAGTGAGCAGATATCATGCCATTGCACTCCAGCCTGGGTGACGGAATGAGACTGTCTCAAAAAAAAAAAAAAAAAAAAAAAAAAAAAAAAAGCATTAATGCAATATCCAGCAAAATAAAGGGTATTTTGAGAAAGTAGAGCCTGCCCCCTTTAACAGTAGAACAGGCTACACTTTCATAATAGGAAAAAATGTATCTGAGGGATTTATTAACACTTCACAAGGGTAGGATTTAAACAGTTTGAGTAGCAAAAGAGTTTTCCCATAAGTTTTATTTACTTTTATTTAACTATAGTCCAAAGATGTGCTGTGAAAATGTTTTCATATAAATAATTCACTGTAAAAAGTTATTTACAAAGCCACAGTCCTCATTCAGTTAGGTAATACGGTTTTCTAGTCATGATGGAAAAGGTTAACATTTAATTGGGTCTACATAATGTTATAAAATTGCCCTCACCACATAAAGCTCTGTCTAGAAGACAAAGAGTTGTATGTTCTTCATTTCATGAGTGACCATATATATCCCTGAATCATGATCAATCTCAGACCTTCGAGAAGCTTGGTTCTTAAGGTGAGGTTCTTAAATTCAAGTTAGGCCAGGCCTGGTGGCTCAATCCTGCAATCCCAGCACTTTGGGACACCGATGGGCGGATCACATGAGGCTAGGAGTTCATGACCAGCTTGGCCAACACAGCGAAACCCCATCTCTACTAAACATACAAAAAATTAGCTGGGCATGGTGGTACACACCTGTAATCACAGCTATTTGGGAGGCTGAGGCATAAGAACTGCCTGAATCCAGGAGGCAGAGGTTGCAGTGAGCCAAGATTGTGCCACTGCACTACAGCCTGGGCAACAGAGCAAGACTCTATCTCAAAAAAAAGAAAAAGAAAATCAGGTTGGGCATGGTAGCTCACTCCTGTAATCCCAGGACTTTGGGAGGTTGAGGCAGGCGGATCACTTGAGGTCAAGAGTTCAAGACCAGCCTGACCAACATGGTGAAATCCCATTTCCACTAAAAAAAAAAAAAAAAAAAAAAATGCAAAAATCGGCTGTGCATGTGGGCACATGTGTGTAATCCCAGCTACTTGGGAGGCAGAGGCAGGAATATCATGTGACACTAGAAGGTGGAGGTTGCAGTGAGCTGAGATCATGCCACTGCACTCCAGCCTGGGCAACAAAACAAGACTCTAATCTCAAAAAAAAAAAAAAAAAAAAAAAAAAAAATTCAAGTTATGTTGTACAGATTAAGGTTTTAAAATTAAGCTTTATTAATTTGGCTCAACAACTTAAATTCTTGCTATGATGATTAGTAAGAACAGAAAAATAGCTGATGACAATTGTATGTTCAACATAAAACGATTTTGTGTTAATGGCACAGCTACCTGTCTTATTTGCAATAGAAATATCTTGTTTTAAAGAATGTATAGAGGTACTATAAGAGTATACATGCTTTAATATTAAGTAGCTAGTAAGAATAGTAAGAAAGAAAAAAATAGCAAAATAAACAAGCTTCAGAAAAGCATTAGCAAACAATAGTATTTGCTGAACAGCACTGGGTGCGGTGACTCACACCTATAATCCCAGCTCTCTGAGAGGCCAAGTTCAGAAAAAAGATTTAATTTTCTAGACTTGACACTACGCTGAAAAGGCTGCTCACCACAGGCATATACTAGAATTGGAGAAAACAGAAATGATGTGGGAAAAATGTGGGCAAGAGTGGATCACTCTTCTGGATCTCAGAAATTTTATAAAGGACAATAAGTTGCAGCCAAAGGCCAAAAGGGCTTCTCTAGGGACATTCAGCTTAAAAAACATCTCTTTCATATCAGATATGTGCAGACTCCATGTAGACACTAAGATACATGCGCAGGATTTGGCCACCTAGCCATGAAACACATAGTGTAGAAATGGAAAATAGGTGGCTTAGTGGCTCTTAACACAGGAGGAATCTCAGGCCATATCCAGGTCTCTGATATAAACTAGTGATGCCTTAAAAATATGCATGGTGATATTTGTACCAGTTATTACCTCTTTACTTTAGTATACTGATTTAGAAGTCTACTAAATTATTACAGAACAAGAACACATCACACTTCTGAGCAAAAGAAAACATCAATTCTGAGTTGAACAATTTTCTAAAACATATTATTGTACAGCATATATGTTATATATACTAGAGTATACATATGCTAACTTAGTATAGATATCCTATGAACATTTCATGTGGGGTCAAGAAAAAAATAAATACGAAACCTCAGTTTTTAGATCTGATAAAAATCAAAGGTGTGTGTCACATGAAGTCTGAATTTTTCCATAATAAGGATATCATGGATCCTAATTAAAAAAAAAAAAAAAAATCAATGACAGCCCACTTGTTTTAACTCTAAACGTTTTACCCTAGAGAGAAAAAATACCTAAAGAAAGAGAGCTACTTATTTACACAGTCTAATCATACTTCTGAAAGATGAGAAAGCAACTTTTCTCCTTTACAAACTGAATTCAGTGTTTAAAAATTATTTCAACACAAGCCCACTACTTAATATTATATAATTCAGTGTTTAAAAATTATTAACACAGTCCACTGTGATTTCTGACCACAGCTAGAATATAACTAAAGTTAAACACCCTGCTGCTTTCTAATTTCCTTTTTCTTTTTAACACTTCCTTACTTCACAGAAGGAACTTTTAGAGCTAATTCTGAGCTTAATGGTTACAGAATGTGACAACAGAATTAATCCCTATTTACAAAATGAATTCCTTTACAGGCAGTCTTACGAATTATTGCCACTGAAATCATGGGTGAGAAATTAAGGGTAAAAGAAACAGGTGTGGAAGTCACAAGTTCTACCTGACATTGGCAAAATCTAGCTGTGTAACCTTGGACAAGTCACTTAACCTCTTTAGCTCTCAACTTCCTCATGTATAAAATAAAGGGACTGAAACTTGATAGTTACTAAAGTCCCTTTCAATGTCTAAATTCTAACTTTCCTTTCTCTAACTGAATGAGAAAAATTCAAATTCAAAATACAAAAAACAAAACAGAATACAACAACAACAACAACAGTTAAAATTATTGCCACCAGCTAATAATTGCTGCACAGGGTTAAGGATCTACTATGGCAGTTTATACTATTTACAAGGTCACAAGTTAAGAAGGCCTGTTACTAAAGCACATAATTCAAGTGGCTTCAAGGTCAGAATTTCCACACAAAGCTGATCGAAATGCCACTGAGTTGCAGTGGAAAAGTACTAGCCTGAGAGCTGGGTTTTAGTTTGGTTCAGAGGCTTTTCTTAGGTAAGTAATTTAACATCTCTCAGTCTTGATTTTCTCAGGTGTAAAATGAAAAGGTTGCACTATGTTATCTCTAAGACCTTTCCTAAAACCAAAACTTTATGTTTCTAAGTGGTTATTCTCAACCTACCCTTTTGTAATGCATTCCTTCCAAAAACAGCTTGGTCTGTTTATAGATTTCTTGGCCTGTCTTGTGGAAGGTCTTGAGAAATTCTATGAACTCCTTAGACACTCTATCCGTTTCAATGCTGGTTTGCCGGTTTATGGAAGGACTGGGAGCTTTTGCTTCCTGAATTTCTGCTGGGAAAATTAAACATAGTAAGTTTCATTACATAAAAGATCCATGCATGGAATTACTTTAAGTATGTAACTTAAGTTTTTTTTAATTATGTTTAATCAAAGTTAAACTTGAATTTAAATCATTTTATGTTTGAATGGTTGGACAACCTTCCTTCAAGTAAACTAAATCTGTTTTATAAGTAGAATCTAGTATGAGTATACAAAACTACATAACCTAAAAGATACTCCTACTGAAATGAATGTTGTTCTATTAGTATTTCTTTGCCAAAATACACCATGCTTTGATCTATATATTCAATCATGAACAATGAAATGGCACCATTATTTTGGGCAACCTTCACAAAGACTGCTTTAGTTTATAAAACTAGTCAACAAATAGAATAACAATCAACAGAAGCACTGAAATGTTAGATGACTTATAAATGTTAGACAACCTTTCCAAATCCCATTTTACTTAACAAAAAGGCAAAGGTTAACATGCTTTTGTGGAGACTCACAATTATTTACCCACCATTTAGTTGGTGAGTCATACTGATCAAAGTGAAAGAATGCACCCATAGTACTAATAGCATGATGAACACAACAAAGCATACAATGAAGATAAAAGAGAAACATGCAGTACACCATCTGATCAGCTGGGCACACAATTCTTTCCCCTCTTCAAATAAATACACTGAAAGGAAAACTGGACATTTACAGAAGAGAGATAAGAATGTTGTAATAGGCAGTTAAGTGCTTTCAAAGTATGAACTACCACTTGGTCCCTGAACACATTTGAAGCCTTCTGATTTTGAACTATACTCTTTAATGTTTATAAGGAATTTAAGTTCCCCATATCCCAATAATTTCCTAAAAAGAAAAATACTTTTTTAAAAAAGTATGTTTTATTTTATTTTATTTTTGAGACGGAGTCTTGCTCTTTCACCCAGGCTGCAGTGGCATGATCTCAGCTCACTGAAACCTCCACCTTCCAGGTTTAAGCGATTCTCCTGCCTCAGTCTCCAAGTAGCCGCGATTACAGGCAAGTGCCACCACAACCAGCAAATTTTTGTATTTTTAGTAGAGATAGGGTTTCACCATGTTGCAGACTGGTCTTGAACTCCTGACTTCAAGTGATCTGCCCACCTTGGCCTCTTAAAGTGCTGGGATTACAGGCACGAGCCACTGCACCGGTCCCAACATTTGTATTTCCCCAAAATTTTCTACTCATGAAATTTTACATGTACAAAATGAAATATGTATATTTCAGCATTACTTGTAATAGCAAAAGACTGGAAATAACTGGCCACCACTGAGGAACTAATTAAATTATCCTTTGATCCATAAAATGAAATACCATAGAGTTTTAAAATTAAGAAGCATCCTTCTTATGTACTAATATGGAAAGAGCTCATAAATGTACTGGAAGAAAAAAAGTAAATCAGCAACATACTGACATGCTGTCTCTACAAAAAGTAAAAATATTAGCCAGGCATGGTGGTGTGTGCCTATAGTGCCGGCTATTTTGGGGGGGTCTGAGGCAGGAGGATCACTTGAGCCCAGGAGTTTGACACTGCAGTAAGCAATGATCGTCCCACTGCACTCCAGCCTAGGTGACAGAGTGAGAACTTGTCTCTTAAAAAAAATAAACATATAAGCCGGGCGCGGTGGCTCAAGCCTGTAATCCCAGCACTTTGGGAGGCCGAGGCGGGTGGATCACGAGGTCAAGAGATCAAGACCATCCTGGTCAACATGGTGAAACCCCGTCTCTACTAAAAATACAAAAAATCAGCTGGGCGTGGTGGTGCATGCCTGTAATCCCAGCTACTCAGGAGACTGAGGCAGGAGAATTGCCTGAACCCAGGAGGCGGAGGTTGCGGTGAGCCGAGATCGTGCCATTGCACTCCAGCCTGGGCAACAAGAGCGAAACTCCGTCTCAAAAAAAATAATAAAATAAACATACAAATAAGGTATGTACACTGTGCTATGTTTTATGTTAAACAGGGGGTAGTGGTATAAGGATAGGTGTTTTTAATGAATCAATATAAAAGCACAGAAGAACACACAAGAAACTAATAACAAAAGTTGTCTGAAAACGGGGGGAAGGATAGCAGTGGTGCTTAGGAACTAGATGGGTGAGAGACAAAATAGAAAAGAGACTTCTGACCATATCTTTTATGTTTTGGCCATTTGGATATACTATCTATTTATTTTTTTAAAGACATAAATAAATCAGGTACAATCTAATCCAAAACCAAAAAGTCAATATCTTTTCTAAAATTTTTTTTATCTAAATGTAAAACCAAAGATTGTGCTGACTTCTGTATAATTAGGAAAAATTTCTTTATTATTTGGAATTGAATCCTTCTCTGTCTGATAATTCTAGTAATGATGGAATACTCTGATGGGATCAGGTTTACTCCACTATCTTAACAATTGAAGGGTCAGACAAATATATAAACTAAAGGTTTTCACACACTGGACAACAGGCAAACAGTAGACTAATTCTTGAAAGAAGGGAATGAAATCCAGTCTGTCCCAGAGTCCCAGCTCACTGCTGGGAGAGTTTTAAAGTCACGGCACAGGGAGAGGCCACTCAAACAGAGCCTAGCTGACTTACTGAATTCAGGAAACAGCATTTGGAGTTCAGGGAGGCCAATATTACCAGAATTTGCATGGCAAAGTATCATGCAAATGCTACAGAGGGGAGAGGGCTACACAGAAGCTCCAGGTATCTGCAGAGGGTTCCCTTTGATTGTGGCTGAGTACGGCACATGCATATGAGGAAATTACCCAAGATGAGAGAAAGAATCACCAAGTAACATGGAGAACAATGATGCAAAGGGTGAGAGGAGGAAATATAAGAATTCTGTTTAAGATTCTTACATGTAAAGTGGTATAATACTATTAATTTACATTTTTTTCTTTTTTCTTTAAAGTGGTATAATACTATTTGAAGGTAGGTAAGTTAAAGATGTATTCTGTATCCCCAGAGAGAAAGCATAAAAACAGGAAAAAAAAAAAAAAAAAAAAAAAAGATGTATTCTGTAAACCCCAGAACAACCAGTAACAAAAAAAAAAAAAGAAACAGAACAAAGAGCTATAGCTGCTAACAAGCTGATAGTGGAGACAAAAGTGTGGTCATAGAGAAGGCAAGAAAAGAAATGAAAAGAAACTAAGACACGATGGGATAAACACAAAGAGCAAGATGGAAGGGGTAAACCTTCCCTTATCAAAAATCACATTAAATATAAGTGGTATAAACACTCTGATTAAATGTCAGAGATTATCAGATTAGATTAAAAAACAAGAACCCACTTTATGCTGTCTGTAAGAAATTAAATATAAAGATACAAATATGTTAAAAACTAATGAAAAAAAAAGATACTCTGAAACAATGAAAAGAGCTTAAGTGGTTATACTAATGTTAGACAAAGTAAACTTAAGAACCATGGACCAGACAGGGCGCAGTGGCTCACGCCTGTAATCCCAGCACTTTGGGAGGCCAAGGCGGGTGGGTCACGAGGTCAAGAGATCGAGACCATCCTGGTCAACATAGTGAAACCTGGTCTCTACTAAAAATACAAAAAATTAGCTGGGTGTGGTGGCATGTGCCCGTAATCCCAGCTACTCAGGAGGCTGAGGCAGAATTGCCTGAACCCAGGAGGTTGAGGTTGCCGTGAGCCGATCCCACGCCATCGCACCCGAGTAAGAAAAAAAAAAAAAACACCCAAAAAAAAAAAAAAAAAAAAGAAAAAGAAAAAGAAAAGAAAAAAGAGCCATGGACCATATTACCAAGAACAAAGAGGTGCATCTCATAATAAAAAAGGGGTTAATTCTTCAAAAAGATACAGCAATCCTAAATATGTTTATACTAATCATATAGCTTCAAAACACATAAAACAAAATTTGATAGAACTGAAAGAAGAAATAAATTCACAATGATATTTGGAGATTACAATATTCCTCACTTAGTAATTGACAGAGAGGTGATTTTTAAAAAGTCAGTAAAGACAGAATACTTGAACAATGCTATCAACCAACTTGACCTACTTCACACTGATAAAACACTCAACCCAATAAAAACATAATACATATTCCATCTGAAAAAATAATAATATGTTAGTAACTTACATATAGATAATGCCTATTCAGCACTAAGTACTTTTACAATGCTACTTTGTATAATCCTCAAGTCTATCAGGTAGTACACATGATATTTACAAATGAGGAAGCTCAGGCTTGAATATGTTAAGTAACTTGAATAATGTTGCAGTCATTTATATAGCAAAGACTGGAATTTGAACCCAGGTCTGTGCGTTTAAATCCAAAGCCTGAGCTGTTGACTATGCTACAACTACCTCAGTAAGTCAAAGAGGATTGAAGACTCCTCAGAAGAACACAAATTCCTCTGACTTTGGAGGTCTGTAGGCCAGTCAAGGACAGGAAAACCCTACTCATTTCCTTTATTGCTTTGCTTATGACATGCTTCCCTCCCACACATAATTTTCCAAAGAGACACTTCTGCTTACAAAAAAAAAAAACCCCTTTAAAAATGTAAATGAGGATGAATTCAATTAACTAGTTATGAACATACAAGTTACTAAAATCAACACTTGGTTGTTTTTCTCTAAGATTCCTAAATATCAACCCCTACTAAGAGGCTACAAGTTTGGATTAGAGAGTAGAAAGTGAGACACAATTCAGAGTTTGGTATGCAGGGAGGAGGTGAGTTGTTTCAACAGTCAATAGGGATTCAGTGTGTAAGATCAAAGAAGTGAAGAAGGAGGAAATATGGAAAACAACAACTTCACCCACATTATAGTTTATAGTTTTGGCTAGGGCTCAAATGGCAAGTGCTTGCTCTTCAACTTAAAGTCACCTTGTAGTTTTTTTTTTTGTTTGTTTTGTTTTTTTTTGAATCAGAGTCTCACTCTGTCACTCAGATTGTAGTGTGGTGACTACAGCTCACTGCAGCCTCAACTTCCCAGGCTCAAATGATCCTCTACCTCAGCCTCCAGAGTAGCTGGCCCTACAGGCACTAGACTGGCTAATTTTTTAGTTTTTGTTTTTTAAGAGATGGAGGTCTCACTATATTGCCCAGGCTGGTTTTCAACTCCTGAGATCAAAAAACCTTCCTGCCTTGCCCTCCAAAGTGCTGGGATTACAAGCATGCGCCACTGCACCTGGATGTACCTTATGTTTTTAATACAGAAACAAAACGCTAATATTTAAGTTATAGCAAGTAGACCATGATTAGCAAGACTTCCATTCCCCAACCTCTCTCTCTCTCTTTTTTTTTTTTTTGAGATGGAGTTTCACTCTTGTTGCCCAGGCTAGAGTGCAGTGGCACTCAACTCACTGCAACCTCTGTCTCCCAGTTCAAGTGATTCTTCTGACACAGCCTCGGAGTAGCTGGGATTACAGGTGTATACCTCTACACCAGACTAATTTTGCATTTTTAGTAGAGACAGAGTTTCGCCATGTTGGCCAGGCTAGTCTCCAACTCCCAACCTCAGGTGATAACACATGCCTCATCCTCCCAAAATCCTGGGATTACATGAGTGAGCCACTGCACCCAGCCTTATTGTCCTTATTTATTTTGACACTCAAATTATCCCAGACTTGACCAGTGGAAATCCCTCCAAGCTGGCTTCTGGATCCTCTGACATATCCCCAAAATATTAAAGGGGCTCTTTTTTTCCCTGCTCCAGTCCCAGAATTAGTCATTTCTCCAAGAAACCCTGGTTCACTTTAATGAATACTATTTAGAATCTAAGGTATGGGTGGTATTGGTATTTAACGCTAAAAAAGAAAAAAGCTTCTTTGTAGGATCACTGTCTTCAGATCTGTTTGTGAAAGAGGTACACAGATTCTACCTGGGATGACAAGATTAGAGGAATTCTAAAAGAAAAGGGCATTTTGGAATGTATAATCAAGTATCTCAGGTTGGCCAGCCACTATACCTCTATAGAGCTCACTCACCCTTACTGTGGAGACTAAAACACTTTAACTGAGTCTTTACTGTCAAGATATTCCAATTACTTTCTCTGAAGGGGTATCCAACTCTAATAGAATGTGAACATATTCTTCAAATTCCTTAGAAAGTTATTTGTATTTTGTCTGCTACCAAGCTGCTACATTTGGCATAAAAGCTTTCCTTTATGCTACTAATAGAAACAAGTAAAATACCAAGAACATCAGGTACTAAAGAAGATAAAAGAAAACAGAATACAAAAGTCTGTATCTAGCCTAGACCCAATACATTAAAACTGCACTTAGGCTAACCTTATCTACACACAATGGGCAAAAAAATTATCAGTGTGAAATGCGAAATTTACGTGGCTAACTTATCTACAGACAAAAAACAACTAAAGAACAAAAAAATCTAAAGTACAGATCTATCATTCAAAAAGGCAAGGGGGTGGGGAGAAAAGAACAAAGGTAAAAACCATTTTGCATGCATATTTTTAAAATAAAAGTCACTTGGATTGTTTCTTTTTTTAATTAATAAATCATTTTAGAGATGGTATCTCACTCTGCTCTGCTGTCCAGGCTGGAGTGCAGTGGCACAACCATAGGTCACCGCAGTCACTAACTCCTGGGTTCCTGTAATCCTCCTACCTTAGTCTTCCAAGTAGCTGGGATTATATGTAGGTACAAGCCACTGCACCTGGCTCCAGAATTGTTTCTTTTTAAAGTATAGACTCTGCACTAAATTGTAAAACTTCTTTCCACAGTATAATGTACACTGTACAGAGGCTTTTAGGACACAGGTTTTTAAAATCACCAAGGATAGTCAGAGAATATAAATGACAATTACGTACTTAAGTAACAGAAACTTAATTTCGTATATATATTGAATATTATATGTATTAATAACCTGGGTTCCTGAAGTATACACATTTGATAAAGGGATATAATAGAAAAATATTGAACCAGGAGTTAGGTGACCTGAGTTATCATACACAAACTCATTGTACGACCTTGGGTAAATTAGTTAACCTTTATGGACTTTCATGTTGTCATCTGGAAAACAGGCTATTAGAGCTGATAATTTTATAATTTTTTTTACTATTTCATCTGTTATCATAAATACTTGTAATTTCACTACATATCATCATAAATTCATATGGGTTATGAAACTTTCCCAAAGCACGAAACAGACTTTAAGCTAAATAGGAATGAATGATCTTCATAATAAATGTCCTTCAGCTCCTGCAAGATTATTCTATCAGAAGAAGAACTTGCATTTTAAAATAGCTAACACTTACTGGAAATGTACCGTGTTTGTCTGGCACTGTGCTAAGCTCTTTACACAGGTCAACTCATTTAATCCTCATCACATGTCTCTGATAGGCATTACTGTCCCTCCGTGTGGACAGGACTCAAGAGAGGTTATTCTGCCCAGGGTCACACAGCTGGTAAATAACAAAACTAGGACTCAAACCAGGAGTGACTCTAAAGTCACCTTATTAACCACCCAGCTATTCCACCTCCTAATAAATAAATCATGAGCCCAATACATTCTTATTTAATCTCTGGCAAGTACTAATTTTCTTCTGCTTTTTAGTAGAGACAAATTGCTACAACTGGCAGCCAACCAAGAAACAACTTCAAATTTGTCATATGAAAGGTAATCAATTGATTGCCTTTAAGTAATCTTTTTTTTCTTTTACAATTTTTTACTTTTTTTTTTTTTTTAAATAAAGACGGGGTTTCACCATGTTGGTCAGGCTGGTCTTGAACTCCCGACCTCAGGTGATCTGCCCCCCTTGGCCTCCAAAGTGCTTGGATTACAGGCGTGAGCCACCACGCCCAGCCAGAGTAATTAATTTTTGTTCTTTTCTTTTCTTTTCTTTTTTTTTTTTTTTTTTTTAGAGGGGCAGTGGTTTTCTCTCTCCAGGCTGGGGGGGAAAGGAATTTGGTTCATGCAACCTCCACCTCCTGGGTTCAAGTCATTCTCCTGCCTCAGCCTCCTGAGTAGCTGAAACTACAGGCACGTGCCACTGTGCACAAATAATTTTTGTATTTTTTGTAGAGACAAAGTTTCACCATGTTGCCCAGGCTGGTCTCAGGTGATCCATCCGTCTTGGCCTCTGAGATTACAGGCGTGAGCCACCACATCAGGCCGCTATCCATTTCTTAAAAGAGAAGTGTGTTTTTGGTTATAAGCAATATTTCCCTTTAATAAAACAAAAGAAAGTCACAAAACCTAGAAGGCCAGCAAGGATCTTAAGGAGTAACACTCTTGTGATTCATTTCCCTGCCTTCAGGGGAGAAGACCTCATCACAATTACCCCAGGGTAGGAACTGGGGAGCAAGAGAGAGGCTCCCAAAGAACAAGTCTTCTGACAGCATCAATACTGGTTCCTGGTTCCCTGACCATTTCACATCGACTACATAACTCTGAGTACCAACATAAATTTTCAGAGACTGAGGCCTTACAACAGAGACTCTTTTGCTTCATGCTGGGCCACTTCAACTGGCTTGTCTGCTCACACTAGTAAAAAAACTGTAACTTAGGCCGGGCGCGGTGGCTCAAGCCTGTAATCCCAGCACTTTGGGAGGCCGAGGCAGGTGGATCACGAGGTCAAGAGATCGAGACCATCCTGGTCAACATGGTGAAACCCCGTCTCTACTAAAAATACAAAAAATTAGCTGGGCATGGTGGCGCGTGCCTGTAATCCCAGCTACTCAGGAGGCTGAGGCAGGAGAATTGCCTGAACCCAGGAGGCGGAGGTTGCGGTGAGCCGAGATCGTGCCATTGCACTCCAGCCTGGGTAACGAGAGCGAAACTCCGTCTCAAAAAAAAAAAAAAAAAAAAAACTGTAACTTAAGTGACAAACTTCTTGCTGGTTATATGGCATTTTAAGAAGCAAGGTGAATATGATCATCTACATACAACTCCATGCACTAAAAAATAGCTACTATGGGTTATTTTTGTTCCCCCAAGAGCCCAACATGGGCCTTTTCCTGTATGTTCTCAATACACTTCCTCAAGATACAAGTTGTCTCTCAAATAAGCTCTCGGACAAAAAAAAATCTTTCACATGGCTTTCAAGCCTAGAAATCACCACTTCTGACAAGCTATGTACAGTGAGGGTATTATACAACAGAACAAACCAGGATCCAAAAAAAAAAAGGCACACAAAAACAAAACAGCCAAAGGGACAGTCATTTGGATGGGGATGAATTTCATAAACAAAACTACCTATTTCAATTCTCTTTATTCCTCCTATGGAGTAAACAAATTTCTCTAAAACACAATGTCTTTCAATCAAAGAGAGAATTGGTTTCATATATTGTCTGACCCTCAAACCCAATTTCTGTCTCAAATCTGACCTGATGTTTCCAGAAAACTGACAGAAATTACAAAGCTGAGTCTATGAGCATAGTGGATCCACTCTGTGTCTCACTCAGGAAAACAAGAAAAAAACGAGTATCACAACATTACCCTTCTTTGATCCGACCCTGGAAGACGCACTGAAGAATTTCTTCACTGTGGTAACCTTGCGGGTCTTCTCATTGGTTTTCTTTTCTTCAAACTTGGAGAACGTGAGGGACTGGGCTCCTTGGCTGCTCTGACTGCTGGCAAAGGCCTCCTCCTCCTCCCGTTGGAGTCTGCAATTCAAGACAGGATTAGAATGATCTAGATATTCTCCAAGGTTTCTCTGTATCTGAAGGTTATTACTCCATTAATTCAGGAGGATCTAAAGATTTCAAAACTAGAGACCAAATATACCAAATCAGTCTGAAGTCTCAGATAGCTTCTGGATGGGATGGACTGCCCTTCACGCACTACAGATTTCAAACGAGACCTTCTCATGGTCATTCAACAACTGCTGTAGGGTTACATGGAAGAAATCAGGTCTAGTCCTTTTCGCTAACAAGCTCAAGATTTGAAAAGAGGAAAAGGTAAGTAAACAACTGCTACATAATAGGACAGCTGCTACAGCAGAGAGTAAAAATTGAGTGCTATAGTGCTATGAGAACACAGGGAAGAACTCAATCTGCTGGAAGAGTCTGACAAGGCTTTACAACAGTGATGTTTGGGCAGGGTCTTAAAGGATGAATAGGATCCTTTTTTTTTTTTTCTGGAGACAGAGTGTCACTCCATCACTGAGGCTACAGTACAATGGCATGATCTCAGCTCACTGCAACTTCTGCCTCCCAAGTTCAAGCAATTCTCATCCTTCAGCATCCCAAGTCATTGGGACTGCAGGTGCAACTAACAAGGATAAACAGGATTCTAAATGAAAGGACATTCCAGGAAGAAGGAACTACAAATGTGCAAGCCTGTGGTTTGCTTCACAACAAGCTGAATGTAGCCAGAGCACTGGGGGTGTAATGAACTGTGATGCTGGATATACAGGAAGCCACCAGAGGGTTAGGAATCTTGATTGCTAAGCCCACTCTTCTGGATTTCATCATGTGGTGGGGAAGCAAGAAAGACTGTAAATCCAAATCCAAGAAGTTCTCATTGTCAGATCTGTGCTTTAGAAAGATAATGTGGGTAGTCATGTGAACAGCTTGAAAGGTAGAGAAATTAGAGGCAGTGACAAGAAGTAAGAGTATATTATAAAGGTTTTTTTTTTTTTTTTTTGAGACGGAGTCTCGCTCTTGTTACCCAGGCTGGAGTGCAATGGCGTGATCTCGGCTCACCGCAACCTCCGTCTCCTGGGTTCAGGCAATTCTCCTGACTCAGCCTCCTGAGTAGCTGGGATTACAGGCACGTGCCACCATGCCCAGCTAATTTTTTGTATTTTTAGTAGAGACGGGGTTTCACCATGTTGACCAGGATGGTCTCGATCTCTTGACCTCGTGATCCACCCGCCTCGGCCTCCCAAAGTGCTGGGATTACAGGCTTGAGCCACCGTGCCCGGCCTATAAAGGTTTAAGTAAAAGAAAATAAGTACCTGGAAAATAGGAGTAGAAAAGGTAAAATTCAAAAGACTTTTCTGAGTTGGAAGAAATAGTACTTGGTCAAGTTGTAGGTAGCAAGGGAGGTGAAAGAGAAATCAAGAATGAAACCAAGGTTTTGTAGTTAACTTGGTAAATGGCAATGCCATTAATTGACTCAGGAGAAGGGTTAGGAGAAAAATGTTCAGAATGGGGAGAATAATAAATAAAAGCAATAAATTTAGCTTTGGATTAGCTGTATATGAACCACCTGTAATAATTCCCAAACACAGGCCAGGTGTGGTGGCTCACACCTGTAATCCCAGCACTTTGGGAGGCCAAGGCGTCCAGATCAATTGAGCTCAGGAGTTTGAGACCAGCCTGGGCAATATGGTGAAACCCTGTCTCTATGCAAAATACAAAAATTAGCCGGAAGTGGTGACATGCTCCTGCAGTCCTAGCTACTTGGGAGGCTAAAGCAGGAGGATTGCTTGAGCCCAGGAAGCAGAGGTTGCAGTGAGTCGAGACTGCATCACTGCACTCCAGCCTGGGTGACAGAGCAAGACCCTGTCTCAAAAACAAACAAACAAAACTTGGCTGGGCACAGTGGCTCACACCTGTAATCCCAGCACTTTGCAAGGCTGAGGTGGGCGAATCACGAGGTCAGGAGATCTAGACTATCCTGGCCATGGTGAAACCCCATCTCTACTAAAATACAAAAAATTAGCCGAGCGTGGTGCTGCGCACCTATAGTGCCAGCTACTCAGGAGGCTGAGGCAGGGGAAACGCTTGAACCCAGGAGACAGAGGTTGTAGTGAGCTGAGATCATGCCACTGCACTCCAGCCTGGCAACAGAGCAAGACTCCATCTCAAAAAAATAAAAATAGGCCGGGCGCGGTGGCTCAAGCCTGTAATCCCAGCACTTTCGGAGGCCGAGACGGGTGGATCACGAGATCAAGAGATCAAGACCATCCTGGTCAACACGGTGAAACCCCGTCTCTACTAAAAATACAAAAAAAAAATTAGCTGGGCATGGTGGTGCGTGCCTGTAATCCCAGCTACTCAGGAGGCTGGGGCAGGAGAATTGCCTGAACCCAGGAGGCGGAGGTTGCGGTGAGCCGAGATCGCGCCATTGCACTCCAGCCTGGGCAAAACAAGAGCGAAACTCCGTCTCAAAAAAAAAAAAAAATAAAATAAATAAATAAATAAATAAATAAATAAAAATAAAAAACCTCAAGCACTATCTGTAAGACAGTGGTGCTCCAAGTGTGATTCCCTAGACAGCAGCAGCAGCATCACCAGCCAACTTATTAAAAAGGCAGATTCTCTAGTCTTACTCCCAAGTGACTAAAATCAGAGACTCTGAGGTTGAGGTACAGCAATCACTGCTTTTACAAACTTTCCAAGTGATTTAGCAGGGTCACAATTAAAAGTAATAAGAAATAGAAACAAAAATCACAGGTGGAGGAGTTAAGTCTGAGTGTGGAAGAGAGGCATATCTTTCTCTGGGACAGACGAGAAGTTACTATAAAAATATTAGTACATTTTTATGCGGAGAGGGGAGGAAGCTGAGGGAGTTCATGCCTAGTGGCCCGTACTCTGTTTCTCAAACAGAATCTGCTACTGACAGTATCAGGCATGCAGTGGAAAGCCTGAGGAGATCATTAATGTTCTGGGCTAAAATTTTCTCTTTTTGACCAGTCACTGAAAGCAATGTGTGATTTCTAATTCTCTGAGTTCACCACAGATGCCAGCAAAGTAGCCACTCAATAAATACTGGCTGACTGGACGGGGGGGAAAAAAAGAAAAACTAGCAAGAAGAGTTGGCAGAGTTCCATTTGACTTTCTTCTGTTGAAGCAGTTTTAGAATTTCTACAATGTTCTGGCAAAGAATTAACATTATTCATGGCATTTTATTAGTTTCTATGCTCACTAGCCATCTCATAATTTTTTTTTTTTTTTGAGACAAGACTCTCACTCTGTCACCCAGCCTGAGTGCAGTGGCACGATCTCGGCTCACTGCAACCTCCGATTTCTGGGTTTAAGCAATTCTCCTGCCTCAGCCTCCCAAGTAGTTGGGATTACAAGCATGCACCACCATACCTGGCTAATTTTTTAAATACTTTTAGTAGAGATGGGATTTCACCATGTTGGTCAGGCTGGTCTCGAACTCCTGACCTCAGGTGATCCTCCCACCTCAGCCTCCCAAAATGCTAGGATTACAGGCATGAGCCACTGCACCTGGCCCATTGTTTAATTTTTAACATCACTGCATTTCCAGATAATACAAACTGCCTTTGACTAACCTCATTTTAAAGGAAAAGTTAAATTTCTATAATGCGAGGATTACGTGATGTGTACAAGTCAACAGATTTCTACCACTGTATTTTATCACTGAGCTAGATGCCATGCTGAATATATTATATTAAAAGAATGAGGGAAATAATGCTTGATGAGTGTCATTTGCAAGCCCTGGCTGGGTACATCACATTTATTAGCTCATTTAATCTTTACCATGAAATATGCCTATTCCCATTCTTCCACTCCAAGGAGGTTACTGTCTCAATTTGAGAAATAAGACTAATACAAACCAAAGAAAATAATCAGAAGTTAAGACAAACACAAAATGAAGAAACTACTGAAAGCTGTTCATGAAATGTTGGCTGAAAAGAAGTGGGGGAAAAAAATCCTATTATTTAATATTAAACTGATTTGCTAATAGCTCAAAGCAGAAGAGAAAAATGTATTTAGATGGTGACAGGACTATGCATCCAGTCATGTCACTGTTCAAACTTCTCTAGTTAAGTTCTTTTACCGCTCCGCCAGCTCCCAGTCCTCCTGAATCTGCTTCTGCCTGGCTTTGTGGTACTCTTCCCTCCAGCATTTGGAGCAGAAACCCTGCCAGGCAGGGTTGCCGTAGTAACCACATCCTTTCTTGCACAGGAGCTCTGACTGATCCACATGAATTCCTCGGCGTTCAGACTTAAGGCTCATCTTCTTCCTGCTAGCCAATAAACAAACAAGAAATTGATGTTGAAAATGAATTATCATTCTACTAACTAAAATCTTAGCAATTATGAATAAAAAGTGAGTGATTCCATTATTTTCAAGCTGTAAGAGAGGGAAGGAGGGAATGAAGGAGGGATGGAGGGAAAGAGGGGAGAAAAAAAGAAAGAAAAAAGAAAAGTTAAATACAATAAATTCCTGACACAGACATATTAAAGAAAGACTTATTCGCTGCCCAAAATACAAAGAACCCATTAAAAGAAGGGCTAACATTGCATCAAAGACCTAAATTTAAAGGCTAGAAACTAGAAAACTCCTAGAAGAAAACTTAGGGGAAAAGCTTACTGACACTGGATTTCGCAGTGACTTCTTGGATATGATACCAAAAGCATAGGCAACAAAAGCAAAATCAAACAAATACATTACATCAAACTTTAAAATGTCTGCACAACACAATAGCCTACTGACAGAGTAAAAAGGATCAACACAGAATGGGAGAACACATCTGCAAACCACATATCTAATAAAGGGTTAATATCCAGAATACGAAGGAACACTTACAACTCAATAACAACAACAACAACAGCAGCAACAACAACAACAACAACCACCCCAAATAATCTGACTAACTAATGGGAAAATGACATCAATAATCAATTTTCCAAAGAAAACATGAACAGTCAACAAATGTGAAAAAATGCTTAACATCACTAATCATCAGGGAAATGCAAATAAAAACCACAATGAGTTATCACTTCACACCTGTTAGGATGGCTACTATAAAAAAACAAACCCTGGCTGGGGATAGCGGCTCATGCCTATAATCCCAGTACTCTGGGAGGCCAAGGTAGGAGGATCACTTGAGGCTAGGAGTTCGGGACAAGCCTGGGCAGCACAGCAAGACCCCATCTGTACAAAAGTTACAAAAACTAGCTGGGTGTGGCCGGACACGGTGGCTCACTCCTGTAATCCCAGCACCTTGGGAGACCAAGGTGGGTGAATCACAAGGTCAGGAGATCGAGACCATCCTTGCCAAAATGAGGAAACCCCCGTCTCTACTAAAATACAAAAAATTACCCAGTCATAGTGGTACGTGCCTGTAGTCCCAGCTACTCGGGAGGCTTAGGCAGGGGAATCACCTGAACCCGGGAGGCAGAGGTTGCAGTGAGCCGAGATAGCACCCCTGCATTCCAGCCTGGCAGCAGAGCAAGACTCTGCCTCAAGAAAAACCCCAAAACTCAAAACAAAATTAGCGGGGTGTGATGGTATATGCCTGTAGTCCCAGCTACTTGGGGGGCTGAGATAAGAGGACTGCTTGAGCCCAGGAGTTGGAGGCTGCAGCGAGCTATGATCACACCACTGCACACCAGCCCGGGTGACAGTGAGGCCTTGTCTAGAAAGAAAAGAAGAGAAAGAGAGAATAGAGAAGAGAAAAAATTGAAATATCTTAAGTTCCAAAGTCAGTTTTCTTTTCTACTATGTAATATTTAAATTCATTTAGTCATAGCCTCACAGCTGTATGGTAAATTGCTATGCAACAATTTCCACTCAAACTGAAACCACCCGTACTCATTCTTCACCACATAAACAAACTGCCAAACAAGCACAGAAAAAAAGCGGCACTCTCTAGCATTCATTCAAGAGACTCACATGTGCAGATAAAATTAAGCCCTATACCTTGAGGATCTTATCATTAGTTTAACTCAAACATTTACTAAGTGCCAACTGTGTGCAAAGAATTGAGCTAGATGTTACTGGTGATGCAAGTGATAGGCCAGGTCATTGCCCTCATGAGCCTCATAACTGTAAGTAAAGGCAGACTGAAAAATATGGAAAAATAGAAAGTATAAGGAAACTGTTGGGGAGCAGCAGACATACTAATTCTGACTTAGGGAGGATGGAGAAACCACTTGGGGATGCTGGTGATAGGCCTTAAGGAGTCTTGAGTTGAAAGGGTCTTAGAAAGATGACATAAAGACAAAGGACATTCTGGACAGGAAGAATGCCTTTCACAAAGACCTCAGAAGTAGGAAGGTAAATGTAAAATATGAATGATGTAGTATAGACAGAAGGCAAACTAAAGAAGTTAGGTGGGAAGTCAAATCATGATGGCTTTTTAAAACTCCAGGCTACAGAGTCTGGATTGAAAGTCACCACTAAAAGCTCCTGTAAAGGGGAAGCATGCTAAGATCTCTATCTTAAGACACACAACTTGAGATGTAGAGTTCTGTCTTCTAGCATGACCAAGTGAGGAGGAAAATAAATCCTCTTCTGCAAAAGCAGCTGTAAAGATGGAGAAAACTTCCACTTTCTGTGATGCATCTATGTCTGGGCCAAGGAATGCACTGAAATCTCAAGCCCTCCCCTCTAACCCTGCTCTTATTTTTGCAGGGTTCTCCTGTGTCTCCTCTGTTTAGGCACAGGATCTGTTCAACAGAGTGGAAGCTTAACTAAAGATTGAGATGTTTAGCCCAATCTGAATCTTTGTCTGAACAAACAACAATCTCTGGCTGAACATTAAGGCATGCAGACACAGGGGTAATCCTTAGAAGGAAGTCAGGCATAAATGAAAACAAAGAAAAACTGAGCACAGTGACTGCAGTTGCTGGGGAGAGAGACCTCACAGATCCTGGACAGAATGCACTGTGCACTACTTTTGAGGATTTTGAAAAGCAAAATGGAGACGCGGGGAAGACCAGAATTCAAAGTATCACCCAGCTGTCTAAGAGATTACCACTTTCTCCCATCCAATACCACCAGGCCAACCTGGAAATGGACTCCACAGCAGAGAAAGGTCCTCCAGTTTGGGCTCCAGGCATGAGAAAGGGAACTCCTAACAGTCAGAGAGAATATGGGGATCTCCCCATTTACCATCTCCCCCTTCTCTTGAGCCCCCTGTAATCGTGTGCTTTGTCTACAGCTATGGCTGAAATGAGAGACTACAAGAGCCAAACTCTGAAGCAGGAGAACTATTGATTTTCCCCATTCTCTATCCTTGGCCTCAAATGTGCATGCAGTGCTGGAAGGACATGGCAGAGTGGGGTAACTAAATCCAATTGTCTGGACAAAAGAAAGAAAATATGAACTCCTAGGGAACAAAAAGTATGGGAAAAATTGCTGAGGAGAACTCAAGAAAGCATTATCTACACTCACCCCTAGCCTGCATATGTATAGATCTGATGCTATTCAGTACCAAAGGTTTTTAAATTGAAACTAAGGGAGAGACCACTCTGTAGGTCTCAGATCAGCACATGCATGAAACAGATGCAAACAGCACTACAAAAGCTCTGAACAATGAACTGACATTAAAGTCACAGCCCACAGAACCTGTATGTATCCCAAACTTGGCAACAAAACAAAAAACTTTTGCTCAGGGAATAACTGTTCATAAAATGAAAAGACAAGCTACAGAATGGGAGAAAATATTGTAAATCACATATTTGGCAAAGAACTCACATGTCCAGAATGTATAAAGCACTCTCAAAATTCAGTTGTAAGAAAACAAACCACCCAATTTAAAAATGGGCAAAAAACCTCAACAGGTACTTTACTAAAGAAGGCATACACACTGGTGTCCCACATTTCCATGAGAGGCCTTTGCTACATATCGCCCAGTCAAGGATGTTTGAATATTGAACACCCTTACAAGAGAAAGATGACAGCTCCGTCCATAGCAGAAGACAAGTTTGTTAACTAACCAGTACAGTAAATATGTCTCCCTTTACATCAAAGGTTTGAAAGGTTTGTTTGCCACCCCTCGTGAGATTTGAGTTCCCTGAGCTTGGATTTCCTACTTGTGACATTGCCCACAGGGAACTGACAGCAGAGGTAGCCCATGTGGACATGAAGCTGCTTCTGCTGATGTCCTGTGACCTGTGTCCTCCACTTTTGCCTCCAACCCAGGAATTTCATGTCTTGGGCCAATATCCATGAAACTATGGAGACTAATTTGGTACCTTTAAATAGGGAAGACTTAAAACTCGGGTCCCTTGCAGTTACTGACGTGTTGGCAAATAAGCACATGAATAGTTGGTTGAGCGCTGTTCGGTCATTAGAGAAATGCAAATTTAAACAACCATGAGCTATCACTCAAACCTATTAGAATTACTAAAATAAAAAACAGTGACACAGCCTCGGCAAAATGGCAAAACCCTGTCTCTACCCCCCCAAAAAAAAAAAAAAAAAAAAGGGCAGGCATGGCAGTGCATCCTGTGGTCCCAGCTACTCAGTAGGGTGGGGTGGGAGGATCATTTGATACTGGGAGGTGGAAGCTACAGCAAGCCAAGAGCACAGCACTGCACTCCAGCCTGGGTGACAGAGTGAGACTCCATCTCAGAAAAAAAATAAATACTGACAATACCAAGTGGTAGCAGGGATGCAGAACAACTACAAACCTCATACATTCCTAGTGGAATGCAAAATAGTACAGACACTACCGAAAAGAGTTTTATAGTTTCTTAAAAATGTATACATACAATGACCATCCAACCATGCAATCCCTCTCCTGGGTATTTCCTCTAGTGAAATAAAAACTGCTATTTACTCAAAATTCTGTACACAAACAGTTATAATAGCATTATTTGTGATGACAAAAAATGGCAACTAAAATATCCTTCAATGGGTGAACAAATAAACTATGGTAAATCCATACAACAGAATGCCACCCAGGAAAACAATGACGACAACAGGTATTAGTACACCCAACAAGGTTGATGAATCTCAAAAGCTTTATGCTGAAAGAAGCCAGCATCTTAGTTCCTTCTGGCTGCAGTAACAAAATACCATAAACTGGGTAGGTTATAAAAAACAGAAATTTATTTCTCACAGTTCAGGAAGCTGGCAAGTTAAAGATCAAAAAGTCAACAGATGTTGGTGTCTAGTGGTTCAATGAAGGTACCTTCTCCCTGTGTCCTCAAGTGATGGGAGGGGGAGACCGGCTAGCTCTCTGCAGTCTATTATAAGGGCTCTGAAGTCAATTATGAGGGCTCCACTTTCAGG